GGTGTTCTGAAGCCCTCTGTGTCATACACGCACATGCCATTTCTACCCTGTCAGTGCCGTTCCACATTGGCACAGGGCAATGCAAGGTGGTCTTCCAGAATTCCAGGTGGGAAGCAAAATATAAACCCCACTTCTCTACCATTGCCAGACTTAACTGGCCTGTTAACTATGCCCTCCCAAACCCCAGTACAAATGAGTTTTATCTCTGCAGGATATGAGCGTATAGGGAGCAGGCCGAATGCCTGTCTGAACTGTTACCACAGACCTCGTCTATCAGGCTCTTCTCCGCCCTTCTGCCCATTCTTCCACCTCTCCTCACCCTCAGGCCGAAAAGGGCCTTTTGTTTTCATTTTCACATTCTTTTCTTTTCACTGCTCTGTGGGCTTTAGTGAAACTGTGCACTCTGATTCCCTGGGTTTTCTGGTTCTTGATTATTTTAAGAGTAACTTTTGGAACTTAAATAAACCTTTTCTCTCTCAGTATAGCCTGGCCCTTATAAATGAAAGCTTTAACCTTCACAAGCATTACCTCTGAAATGAGTTTCAAGAGCCAGTTGTGGGAGTCAAAAACCGAATATGACCTCCTTGCTCTCAACTGGGTTCTGTCACCCCCTTGAAGGAGGGGGTACCCCAGGAAGGAGAGCCTAGGCCTGCCAGGGTGGCCATGTATGGAAAATGCTTCCAGTTTCCAGGGGGACAGCCTACACTCTTAGGATCAATTTTCCCCTTACAGCAAGAAAAAGTGGTTGAACGTTTTCCACACTTCACCTTTTTTTAACTTTTATTTTGTGTTCAAGGGTACCTTTGGGGGTTTGTTGTGTAGGTAAACTCATGTCACAGGGGGTTTGTTGTACAGATTATTTCATCACCCAGGTATTAAGCCTGTTACCCAGTAGTTATTTTCTCTGCTTCTCTCACCCTCCACCCGCAAGTAGACCCCAGTGTGTGTTGGTCTTTTCTTTGTGTTCATGAGTTCCCATCAGTAGCTTCCACTTACAAGTGAGAACATGCAGCATTGGTTTTCTGTTCTGCTTGTCTTTAGCACACTTCACTTTTAAAGCTAAAAAGCTGTAACTAGAGAGGTGAGCAGGCTACAGGACCACCAGAGCCACTGGTGCCCTGTGAGCACTTGCCAGAACTGCTCACTTACGCTTTGAATCAGCAGCCACGCGAGTTGGGAAGGTCGGAATTCAGAGGCTGGGTCCCTTCCCAACTGAGAGGCCTCAGAGTTGACTTCTCCCACATTAAGCTGGACCCACAAGGAGTTATACCCTAAGGGGTAAGGTGAACTAGATCTTAATTCACCTTTTCCTCCTAATCCTAGAGGACTAATGAAAGGATCAAATATCCCTAGGAAGAAGCAGCCACACATGAGTCCTTGCTCAGATTTGAAACCCCCAGGCTGGATTAGCCAAAAAAGTTCAAGCCAGGAATTTGATTTCAGATTATTCATGAGTTTTAACAACTCTAGGTGCCTGGCAAAAGCAAATATGAAGTGTCTCTGGAATATCTATCTTAGACCTGGAGGGTCTTTCACAAATAACTACTCAGGGGCATTCACAAGAAAACATTCAAAAATAACTAGGCACAGAAGAAAACAGTATGGCTAAGAACTATCAGAAACAACAGGCAATACAAATAACCTATACAGATTTTGACATTGGCATTGTCAGATACAGATTTTAAAAGTAGCATTTATAGCTAAAGAAAAAAAGAAAGTATAGAAAGTCACTTAACCGATTTGATGAAAAACTCATCAAAATTTCAAGAAATTATGATCAAAATAAACAAAATTAGAAGTTCATTAAATGTGTGTACACCAAAAACAGGATCCCAAAATACGCAGAGCAGAAACTGATGGAGCTGAAAGGAAAAACAGACAAATTTGCAATTACAGGTAGAGACTTCAACGCCCCACAATTGGCAACTACTACTGCTAGACAGAACTACTGGACAGAAAATCAGCAAAGATATAGAACTAAAGACAACAACAGCATTAAATTGATGTGTAATACAACTTTCCATCCAACAACAGCAGAAAATATATTTTTAAGCACCTATGGAATATTCACTAAGATAGGTCATATTCAGAGCTAAAAACAATCCTGAAAATGTATGAAACAAAAGTGGAAAGTCCTAAAAAGAAAAATGAAAAAATCCACAATCATAGTGAGAGATTTTAACATACCATTGTTTATGACTAACAAAAGAGGCAGACAAAAAAAAAAATCAGAACATAGATTTAAGCAAAACAATTAGTAATCTTGACTGAATGGACAGAACATTAGACAACCATAGAATGCGCATTCTTTTTAAGCACACATAGAACTCACCATACACTAGGATATAAATCAAATATCAACACATTTCACAAGATTGAATCAATATAGAGCATATTCTCTGACAACAATGCAACTAAGCTAGAAGTCAATAACAAAAAGATAACCAAAAATCACACTATGTTTGGTAGCTAAAAAAAAACTTCTAAATAATTCATGGATCAAAACAGACATCATAATAGAAATTAGAAAATGTTTTGAACTAAATGATCATGAAAACACTACATATCAAAATTTGTGGGATTGCTTACAGGGCAATTTTATAGCCTGAACTGTATATAGTAGGAAATAAGGATGTGAGGACGATCTGGCTGAGACATCTCTCACCCCACTGATCACCAATGTGGATTCGGCTGATCTGGCTGGCGGGGCAGGTGTCCCCTTCTTCCCTCACTGCTCCATGTGTGTCCTTCCAGAAGCTACACGCTTAGTCGAAGAGGACGACCATCCGCAATAGAAGAGGACTTCAGTCAAGGGTGTACAAGTAGCTGCCCTCCCCTGCTAGAACCTCCAGACAAGCTTTCAAGGAAATAAGGCAGACTGCAAATTAATTAGTTGGGCATACATCACAAGAAGTTAGAAAAAGAACAGCAAAATAACACAAATAGAGTAGAAGGTTAGAATGATTAAAAACGAGACCAGAAATTAGTGAAACAGAAAATGAACCTTCAGTAGAGAAAACCAATATGCCAGAATTTGATTCTTTGAAAAGAACCAACTAATAAAATGACAACCCTCTAGCAATATTGCCCAAGGAAAAAGAAAGAAGTTGCAACCAACATTAGGAATGAAAATGGGCATCACTGCAGATGGTACAGATAAAAGACATTAAACAGATAAAAGAATATTATAAAGAACTTTATACCAAGAAATTTCAAATTTTAGGTATGATGGACAAAATCCTGGAAAACATAAGTTGCCAAAATCATAATGAAGAAGTGAAAATCTGAATTATAATCCTTAAAGAAATTAAATCAGTAGTCAAAAAATTGACTGCTGAGTCTACTGCCACTCAGGATGAGGCCCTGGAGAGATTTAGCACCTGCCTGACTTCAGGCTGCCAGGTGGCAAGCGTCTGTCTGTATGTGCAACATCACTGCTCTCTCTTACCCAGGAATTTACCAGGTCATCCAGGGTATCATCTCTCCTGTCAGTGACAACACAAATTAAACAAAATCTAGCCTCACAAAACTTCACTGGCGAGTTCTACAAAACACTTAAAAACAACAACAAAAATGTTATTTCAGGCTGGGCACAGTGGCTTATGCCTGTAATCCCAGTACTTTGGGAGGCCAAGATGAGTGGATCACTTGAGTTCAGGAGTTGGAGCCAGCCTGGCTAACATGGCAAAACCCTGTCTCTACTAAAAATAAAAAATTAAAATAAAAAAATATTGGTCGGGCATGGTGTCGCATACCTGTAGTCTCAGCTACTCAGGAGGCTGAGACAGGACAATTGCTTGAACCTGGGAGGCGGAGGTTGTAGTGAGCTGCAATTGCACCACTGCACTCCAGGCTAGGTAACAGAGCAAGACTCTGTCTCAAAAAGAAAGTTATTTCAGTCCTAACACACAAAATCTCTTATAGCATAGAAAAAGAGAGAACTCTCCAACACTTTTTATGAGGCTCAAATAACCTCGATACTAAAACCTGATTAGCACAGTGAGAGAAAGGAAAAATTATAGACCTGTCTTACTACCTAAAAAACAAATTAGCAAAGCGAACTCACCAATACACAAAAAGCTAATATATCTTGGCTAAATCAGGTTTATCTGTGGAATGCAGTGTTAGTTTAAGATTAGAAAATTAATCAATGCAATTTACTATATTAACTGAGTAAAGGAAAAAAAATCACACAAGCAAGAGTCACAGAAAAAAAATTAATAAAATTCAACATTTATGGCAGGCACTCAAACTAGGAATAACAGGGAATGTCTCAAAATAACATATTTGTCAAGACAGACTAGGCTCGCTGCAATAATAAATCCTCCAGTTTTAGGAGCTTAACACATGAAAATTTATCTCTCACCAGATGAACCCCGTGTGGGTTTAGAAGATCTACAGGGCAGTTATCATTGCTAGCGAGCACAGTCCATGGCTGTTCCAAAGTACACTTTCCCATTCCATTAGCAGCACACTCCTCCCAGGTCAGTGGTGGCCTGTGCAGTTCATCTACAGCAGATACCCACCAACCCTGGTTCATGCTAAAATCCTATCCTTTGTCCTTCATCCTCAAAATCCCCATTTGGGCTAAGAAACTATATATAATCTTCATCCTCACATAGAGGGCAAAAATAGTGCCTCCGTTAATTTCTATAGAAGGGGAAGTCATGCTGTTCCTTAACTATATCCTGATCCTAACTGTCCACACTGCTATGTGGGACCTTGCCTGAGCTCCACCTCCACAGCCTTTCTCTCAGCAGAAAGGCTACTCAGTGCTACTCTGGGTTGTAGAAGGCTCTAGAGGAGAAGCACGTGGTTATCCTGAGGTAGTGCCTTTACTCTTGCCTAAAGGAGCCACCCTTCCTCCCCCTTGAGAGAATGCCAGACTCTACTCCCACTCAGGATCAGGCACTAGAGAGATTTAGCACCTGCCGGAATTCAGACTGCCTGATGGTGAGCATCGGTCTGTATGTGCAACACCACTGCTCTCTCTTACCTAGGAATGTACCAGGTCATCCAAGGTATCATCTCTCCTGTCAATGACAACTATGGGAAGAAAGACCTCGCAGCTTCTCATCACCGAGTGGCCATGGCCCAGCTGGCCCTGCAGACATCCGACTGGATCCGAGTAGACCCCTGGGAGAGTGAGCAGGCACAGTGGATGGAGACAGTGAAGGTGCTGAGGTAATGGTAGTCACTCTCCTGTGTGATGACCAGGGCCCACGGGGGACGTCTGTAGAGCCTGCAGGGTAAAAGGTAGGGCAGATTGTGGGGCTGGGGTTCTGCCAGGCCTTTTCAGCACAGATCGGAGAAGCAGCTTCTACTTAGGGGGAGAGAGACCAACAGATTCACATTCTCATAGAGGTCCCTGAGCAGAAAAATTACGAAACACTGTCCTTTCGGATGCACTTGTGGAAACACTCAACCTTATTTCAGACGACTGTAGCACTGGGGTCTAGCACCACCACTTAGTAGCTGTGTGACTTTGAGCAAGTGAATTGATATCTCTGAGACATATTTCTCACTTGCAAAATGGAAACAGCAAAACCTAATGAATGACCTTTTTAAAGGCAAATAACTTTCCTGACCCAGGAACTACATAATAATATTCAGTAGGTGGGACCTTTTGTTTTTTTTATCATTGTCTAGGGTGAAAACTGCATCTTTATATTAAGCCATCTTTTTAAATTGTACAATTCCTGGGTTCTATATAAACCCAGACTTTTATGTGAAATAGGAAAAGAAAAAGACTATAAATCTAGAAATAGTTACTCAGGATAATTTTTTCTTCTGGAATTGCTGTTTGTATTCAGTGTACGTAATATAACTGTTTAAAACCCCAAGCCAGCCCTGCAGGTTAAGGCCGTGGGTCACTAGCTTGTGTCTGCAGACTTTAAGGGGAATTGCCAGAGAAGCAGGAAGTCCCACCTATCCTGGCTGCTGGGATTGTGAGAGGGGCTGCCTCATCACTAATGACAACCAGCTCTGCTGGAAGGGATTGCAAATTGTGGGCTGTCTTTTTTGTCTATTTGGAACCACTAGGATTGGCAGGAAATGGGAGGCACAAGGAATGAGGTGAAATGATTGACAGGCCTGTTCATAAAGTGTTTTAGTTTTCATTTTATACTTGTCTTCAAAAATCACTTGGGAGAAAAGGTTTACCTTTTCAGTAGAGGTAATCATTTCGTTTTTATATCCTGATTCTCTTTACTTACTTTTTACTGGGGAAAGAACCAGCCAGAAGAATTCAGCAGTTACCGTGTTGCTTCAGAACCTGTTGCCAATTTTTGTTTGTTTGTTTGTTTGTTTTTTGAGATGGACTTTTGCTCTTGTTGCCCAGGCTGGAGTGCAATGGTGCCATCTCGGCTCACTGCAACCTCCACTCCCAAGTTCAAGCAATTCTCCTGCCTCAGTCTCCCTAGTAGCTGGAATTACAGGCAGATGACACAATGCCCAGCTAATTTTTGTATTTTTCATAGAGGTGGGGTTTCACCATTTTAGTCAAGGCTGGTTCGAACTCCTGACCTCAGGTGATCCACCCGCCTCAGCCTCCCAAAGTGCTGGGATTGCAGGTGTAAGCCACCACGTCTGGTGCCTATTGCCAAATTAAAAGGAGAGACATTATAAAATAATTGTTAGACACATGTTCTTTACTTTTTTAAACTACCCATTAATATAAACAAAAACTCATATATTGAAAATTATGTAAAGAATAAATTGACACCTAGATCATCCTTTTAGAATGAGTCATGCAGTTATTTCTCATTTATCTAGTCTAAGAAAGGGGGAATAGAAGCAAGTGAATAGATCATCCAACAAGTGATTTAGCTTTAATATGTAGGCAGAAACAGATGCTTTCTCCTCCACCCTGTGAGAAGCCGTGTAGCCTAGGACATAGGTTTTAGAGCCAAATTTACTAGCTGAATGACTTGATGTAAGTGATTTAGCCTCCCTGAGTCTCAATTTCTCACCTAATAAAATGGAAATGACATCACCCACTTCACTAGGATTCCATGTGAATTAAATGAGATGATGTAGACAAAACACCTGCTTTATGGTAGGTAATTAATAATGTTAGCTACCTTCCATGAATCCCTAATGCTGTCCCATAATTTGTCCTGAGAACAGATAAGCCATTCATGGATAAATAGGAGTTGACCATAGTACTATTTATGATTACTTGTACTTCTGCAGCAAAATATAGGGGTGAGCTAAAATTCTACTGAACGCATTCATTTTCTTTTTCATTTTTTTTTTAAAGACAGGGTCTCAAAAAAAGCTCCCTGGTGATTCTAATATATGGCTAGCCCACTGCTTCAGCTGCCAAGTTTGTGAATTTAGCTCTGGTGCCCAGGCTGGAGTGCAGTGGTGTGATCTTGGCTCACTGCAACCTCTACCTCCCGGTTCAAGCAATTCTCCTGCCTCAGCCTTCCAAGTAGCTGGGATTACAGGCACACACCACCATGCCCTGCTAATTTTTTTTATTTTTAGTAGAGATGGCCAGGCTGCTCTCGAACTCCTGACCCACCTCAGCTTCCCAAAGCGCTGGGATTACAGGCATGAACCACCACACCCAGCCTCTTTTTAATTTGTTTAAATAACTCCTTTATTCCTGTATTTCTCAGTGCTGGCGTGCACACTGGACTCACCCAGGGAGCTTTTAAAAGTCCCCATGTCTGAGTCTCACCCCAGAGACTAAGATGTCCTTAGTCTAGGTTGGGGTATCAGGATTTTTTAAAGCTCCCTGGTGATTCTAATATACGTCTAGTCCACAGCTTCAGCTGCCAAGTATATGAATTAAGCTTATGATCAGTACTGAGATGCATTTAAAACAGTAGTCTCAACTCTGGCTGCAGAAATCACTTAATAAGCTTTTTTGAATGCTCATTTCTTCCCACCCATCCCAGAGATTTTGATTTGTCTGGAGTAGGCTCTAAACTTTGCTATTTTCATAAAGGTTCCCAGATGTATTTTGTGTAACCAAAATTGAGAATCACTGATATAGTCAACACAGTTTTATCAAATGCTGATTCAGATTTTAAAAATTATTATTTGGAGTGAGTTTCATCTCCAGAATATACCAATTGCATTTGTGTTTGATTACTAACACTTTCCTAAAATTTCCAACACGTGATTTAGCTTTAACATGTAGGCAGAAACAGTTTTCTTAAGACTGAAAATCCAGTTGTAATTGTAAAATCAGGTGGTTTTAGAAGCATGGTAGAAGTCCACCCCATCCTTTGCTCCATTTAGTGTCCTCTTGATACAGTCCATTGTGAATCTACATCATGGTGACATAGTAACACACATCTCTATAATGTAAATTCACTGTAGAGTTTATTGAGGATTCCTTCTTTCCTCATAAGATTGCTTACTTTTATTCTAATTTTTAAAATCTAGGCCAAGTTCCATGCCTTTAGGACATTTGATGACACATGTCACTCACCTTTTCCCTGCGTTGTGGGCAAGGCCCTAGTCACATGTCATTTGATATAATCCATCATTGTCATAATCATCACTCTTTCATGCACCCCCTTGCAGACGTAATCTTGTGTTGTCCTCATTTTACAGATAAAGAAACTGAGGCTCAAAGAGGCTAAGTTAATAACAGTCACACACAAATAAACAGGAAATGGAGCTCCCATCTGTGGAGCCCTGAAGCCATGCTTATGGCCACCTTCAGAAACAGGGATCTGCAGGCTGGGAACATGATGTGGCTGGCTTTCAACCTGCCACAGTTACCCTCCAATGAGGCTTTCCTGAAGACCAGTGGGGCTGCTGAGGACACCAAGAACATGCCCCCAAGGGCAGTCCACAGGCCCAAGGTGCCACTCAGGCAGGCAGCAAGAAGCAGCAATGGTCATGCCCCATGGAGGCACAGTGGAAGTCCCTGGAAAATGCATGTTGTATTGAAAGTAATGATTTCCACAACAAAGTTCAGCAATCCAGCTAATATTCAAAGTAGGGTCACCCTGAACTAGGACGTTCAAGGTAAGTAAAATGACAATCACCACCTTTTACTGATCACCCGCTATGTGTCCCAAGCTCTTTCATGTATATCTAGTAAGCTCAGTAACTCCAAGAAGTAGGTGGGTTTAGTCCTATTTTATAAGCGAGGACATGGAGACTCAGAAAGGGTCATAAAATGCTTCAAGTCCTACAGTTAGAAAGTGGAGGTGAGACTCAATCTACTCCAGTCTGATAGGAGAGCCCATACCAACCCAAGGGTGAATCATCAGAAATAAAGTTCACCAAAACCAAAGCAGTAAAACAATAATGAAACCACTGAATCCAGCCAAGCTCTAAGAAGATTCTGAGTGTCTGAGATACTCTGAAAGGGCTTTGAACCAGGTTAAATGTATTCATTCATCCACTCCTTCCATCATTCCTGAATTCAGCAGACTTAAGGAGCATTTTCATGGTGCTAAGAATATAAAAGTGAATTCAGTGGGGTCCCTATTCACAATCTGGTGGGAAGATAGACTATAATAACAGCTAACATTTATTGGGCTCTTTCTGTGTATGGGCCAGGGCTAAGCGTTTCAATTAATCCTCATGACAGCTCTCTGGGGTAGGTTCTGTCATTATCCCTCATTCCATAGATATGGAAACTAGAGACACCGAGACTCCATGGCTAGTAGTTAGAACCAGAATTCCAGCCCAGAAAGTCTAATTCTAGAACTTAACACTGTGCCCCTTCCCAATTATAATCAGCAGCAGGCCACGTCCCCAGCATTTCACAAGGTAGAAGTAGTTTTTCATTCATGATCTTGCAATACTTATTGTAGATAAGGCCAGCATTAACTTTCATGACTAATTAACAGATGAGTTCCACATGGCTCAGAGATTATCAGTGCCACAGGGTATCAGGGTCATTCAAGCAGAAAAGCCTGAGCTTAAACCCACCCACTCTGGCTTGGCTGAAAAGCATATGCTTTTTACACCAGGTACTACTGCCCCCTAAACACAGCTCTAGTAAATGCATAATACAGGAAGTGGAAGATGGAAGATCAATTTGATACAAGACGGGGTGAATAGTGATTGCCTCTGTTTGATAAAAGAATATATAGGTACCTCATGATTCGCAGGAGATAGATTGCGGAAGAAGGGCGGCACGGCAAATTTGTGAAAGTCTAATCCTCTTTGAAATGCCCGGTGCACTTTGTGTGTATTAACCCCTTTAATCTTCATAACCACCCATCAGAGGTGGGCACTGTCATAATTCCTCATTGGCAGATGCAGCACCATCCACATAGACACTTGAAATCACCCACCCAGGGTCACACAGCCAGCTGGTGGAGGAACTGAGATTCAATCCAGGCCATCTGGCTGCAAGCCCTGGCTCTTGGCCGCCACTCTATTGCCGTCTAAAGCACTAGTTTCTAATCAGAGCAGGCAGCTTTTCTTGGACCTCGCTGTGGGCCAGGCACTGTGCCAGTGCTTCGTGTGCGTGGCTCATTTACCTTCACAAGAGTCTAAAAGTAGGTGTTTTCCCTGCTTCTCAAATGAAAATGTGTCTTGAGGTGGCTGGGCACGGTGGCTCAAGCCTGTAATCCCAGCACTTTGGGAGGCCGAGGCGGGTGGATCACGAGGTCAAGAGATCGAGACCGTCCTGGTCAACATGGTGAAACCCCGTCTCTACTAAAAATACAAAAAAAACATTAGCTGGGCATGGTGGCGCGTGCCTATAATCCCAGCTACTCAGGAGGTTGAGGCAGGAGAATTGCCTGAACCCAGGAGGCGGAGGTTGCGGTGAGCCGAGATCGCGCCATTGCACTCCAGCCTGGGTAGCAAGAGTGAAACTCTGTCTCAAAAAAAAAAGAAAAAGAAAAGAAAATGTGTCTTGAACTCAAGTCTGTCTGACTCAATAGCCCATATCCTTAACCGCTACTCAACAGTGACTCCTTTTTTTTTAAGTGAGAAATATTGAAGGAAATGTTAAAAGAGTAGCAATGTATTAATTTCCCTGCTTTCACACACGTCATATGCAAAGTAGTGAACTGTCTTGGACAGGACTCTCCTGGCTTTCTGTCCCAGCACCTGGCAATGCCTGCCACAGAGTAGGCCCTTGACGGATATTTGGGGAATGAGTGAACCAAAGTACTGTAGATAAAAGCAGGCTGAGACAAAATCTGAAAATCCCTGGGTTGCTTTGAGGGCTGGAGGACAGACATACCCTGAGCCCATATGTTTCCATCGCAGGCATCATCACAGCGAACTGCTCAGATCTCCACCCCAGATGGAAGGCCCAGACCATGGCAAGGCACTCTCCCCGTCCCCTGCAGGTGGGTGCTCACCCTCTTGTCTGTAAGAGAATGAGATGTCAGGGATTCTGTGAGAACTGAAGGGGGTAGGGGTAGTCACAGCTGCAGAGGACTTGAGTCCAAACCTCTGGGCACAGACAAGGAATTTAAGGGCTGCCTGCTTGGGAAGACACTTCTAAGGCTGAAGTTCAGATTAGACAATCTGCCACCACCCCCTGTAAATTGCTCTGGTAATTTGGGATTTTTTTTTTTTTTTGCCCCAAAGAAGTTTACCTACCCTTGTGACTTGTTCTAATGACATGGATTACAGTCAGGGTCACACAGGGATAAACTGATGAGGGCTGCTGGGTTTCTTTTAAAAGCCTTAGCCTTTTTGAATGTAAAATATGACATTATAAAACTTGAACAAAGAGACTAAGACTTTTTTTATAGCAGAATTACTCAATGGTTCACTCAGAAGAGGAAACCTATTTTTAAGGGAATTTAAAGTTGGTTTGGATTATCCTCTTAATTTGTAAGCCTAGATGTGTAAGCCAGGAAGTGTTGTCATTTCCTGGTGTTTGATAAAACCTTGTTGGCTGTGATTTCGGAGTATGAACAGCCCTGGTGTCAGGGGCCAAATGCATTAACCCTTTCATGCAAATAAGCTGGAGCACCATGCAGCGGTGGGCACACAGATTCCTGCAGGTCATCTGCAGAGTTTCCTGTGGCAGGGTCTCCTGGGGAAGAGAGTTGGTGGAACACTGCTTCCAGATTAGAAGAGTTCAGAGATGCTGAGGTTAAGCACACCCAAAGTGGTTTCTTTACTGCAGGACTTTTCAGAGGCTTTACTATGTCCATGTGCGTTGTGATTCTACAAGAAAGAGAAATACCTTGTTCTTACCATATGGAACTCTTTGTTTAAGATCTGTTAGTAATTTTCAGAACTAGTGCTCCCTAAAGCAAGATTGGGAAATGCTCTTCTAAAAAAACTGAAAATGCTAGCAGACCCTATATGTACCATGCCACAGTCCCCAAATGCTGGCTAAAGGATCACTCACAGCAGTATCCCCTGTGCGGCCTGTTAAAAGCACTAATTCTCAGAGTGGGAGTAGGGTCCAGGAATCTGGATGTTTAACAAGCACTCTGAGGATTTGCTTTACAGCCAGTTTGGGTGGGCTATGCATGAAAGTAAGAATCTAAGAAGGAGTTACAGTGCCTCCTATATAATCATCTTATATAACGTTTATTATATTCCTCTGGTCTCTCTGAATGCCTCTCCTCTCTGTTACCTGCATGGGCTCCTTCCCACCCATCCCCCATGAGCACAGTGCCCATTGTTCATTATCAGCCTCTCCCTTCTTTCTGCATCATCTCTGGCTCAGTAGGCATTCCTAAAAGGATTCTACAGACACTTTTTGAGCACCTCATTGGAACAGACTCTGGGCTCAGGCTGAGAACAGAGACAGCCAGCCCCAGCCCCCACCCCGAGCTGGAGACAGGGTGTGAGTGGGTGTGAATCCAGGCATGAATTAGGAGGGCTGCATGGTGGAGGGGGCACCTGCACTGAGACTTGCAGTAGGAGTGGATTATTGAGGTTGGAGACATTTCTGGGCCAAGGAGCAGGCTAAGGAAAGCACAAAGGCAGGAGACAGCATAAGCGTGGAGCACTGCATGCCACTGGGGCAGGCTGGAGTCTGCAGTGAGAGGCAGGGACAGCCAGAGTGACTCGGGAGGGACACCACACTGAGGCTCCTTGCCTCTCACACTTCACCTCTCTGCGTATGCTTCCAGAATCCCTGTCTCAGCTCTTTGCCTGGGCTGCCCCTCCTTCCTCTTAATTCTTTGTTCCCCTGTTGAAAACCTATCTGGCCTGTGAGGCCCAGTTCAGAATTCACCTTCCCTATAAAACCAGCCCCAGCTGCTCTCATTAATATGAACTCTCTCCCTCTGCCAAAGCCCACTCCAGATTCTTTCCAGATTCATTTTTCTAGGGGCTACTAGCCTACTCTCCTTGGCGCTGTATTGTCGAGGGCCTCTTTCTCTCTATTCAGACCCTAAATCCCACTCATCTTGTTCTATTCTAAAGTAACTATTTTTTTGAAAAGGAAGCTTACATGAAATGAAAAGTATGTTTTCCAGTTTACAAAAATATATCAGGGACTTTAAAAATCTTTGTACTCTGCTTGATAAATTCCCATTCTAGGAATCTGGCTAAGGAAATAATTAGAAATTGGGATAAAGATTTACGCAGAAAGATGTTTATCACAGCAGTTTTTACAATGGCAGGAAGTAAAAGCAACCTCAATGCTTAAATATAAAGGAATATGTAAGTAAATTACACTGTATACATAGGATAAAGAAACTACATAAAAGGTTTTAATGATATGGAAAAACACTTATGAAGGAAGTGGAAAAAATCAGGATACAATACTGCATATAAACTTAAGTATATAAAAATATGACTAAGCTTTCACATCTGTTTGCATGTCTAAATAGAAAAGACTAAGGAAATACACTAAAATACTGATGGTGTTTTGTAGAAAGCAAAATTATTATTGTTGTTATTTCTACTTTAAATACTTATTTTCCATACGTTCCATAATGAATACAGTTTGATATTTGTCATCCAGGAAACTGTAGAGCAATTAAAAATAGAAAGGTGGAATTTTTCTTAGCATAAGTTTGGCTTTTGATGAGATGGCACATGTGTTACTAGTGACATATTTCTAAAGGACCATTTTGTGTGCTGCGTGTTTTATTGGTGTGCTGTTACACTCTGGGGTTGCAAATTACATGATGAGCTCAGCACTTTCTGGCTGCCAGACCCTTGCTTTGCCCATCACTTCTGTGATTTGCAGGCCTCCTTGGGCTCACCCAGAGTCACATGGATTGCTACATGCTGGGCTGCTTGGGTGTGACACTTTGGGATGGGTGATTTCTCCAGACCTTTAACAGCTGACTGTCTTTTGTAAAGGTGGCCCCTACCCATGGCTGATGGAGCTGAGCACAGCTCAGCCACGTGCAGAGGACTCCCTTCTCCCAACAGAGCAGGCCCTTTACCTGTTTCCGTTTTACACTGAATGTTCCAAGGTGGCCTTGTATGGTAAATTTGGGTGCTGCCTGTCAGATGCTTCATCTCTTGTGTCCTGTTTAGATCCAGAAGTCCTACATTTCTGAGTGTGTTTGTGAGGTACCATAACAGACATTGCTGTTGGTGGCAGTGTTCACATGCTGTGCCAGACAGGAAATTTACATTGCATTCTCTCCATCACTCAATTCCCGTAACTTCCAAAGAAAGCTTTACTATCCCCATTTCATGGCTGAAGAAACAGGCCCATAGGCTAAGTAATTTTCCTGGGGTACCAGTAGATTTAAACTGGAACCCAGAGCTGACTGACCTCAAGATTGGTGCTCTTTGATGTCACAGACTTAGGACAACCAAATTTTCAAAGATCCTAGTGGCACTTCCCTCGCAGTCTATGTAAACTTCGGCTTTATCTGCCTTTCAAAGCCCTTAGCTACTCAAAGGTAGAGCACACTGCCCTCAAAATGCCCAGACATCCTGTTTATGTCTCTGTATCACTGTTAGGAGAAATCATCTTGACAACCTTTATACCACACCCTGGAGTCACATACTTTGGACATGGATAGAGTCGCTCAGTTGGTCTAAAAATTTTGTAACAGTGTTGTAAATGGATTTGGAGATGTGTGAATGCCTTTGTGGGCCCTGAAGACAGGACTGCCAGGAGTTGGAGGTCTGAGGCCCATGTTGCGCAAGAAGTGACCTATCACATGGTATGTTGCCGTGAAATAACAGGTGCCACCAGCCTCAAAGACGCACGTGCCTTTGATTTGGGAGGCAGAGGCGGTGTGGGCCCTTGTTGCCTCTAGGCAAGGTCCAAAGTGAATAGTATTCCTTACTGTCATTGTTAATGAATCAAACAGTACCAAATATTGAAACTGACATGTAGAAATTGTCCCCACAAAAAAAAAATCTATTGGAAAAAGAAGGTAGTATATTCTCTGTTCTCTGACCTGTAGGAAGAGAGGGGATGTGTCCCAGGCCCCAGCAGATCCTGGAATGAAATCCACTTCGTAGTACCTCCCCCACAGGAAGACCACATAAAACTACCTAATTATTTGAAAGACCAAACACTGTTCTCCTCTATACCACACTGGTTGGATAGATAAGAAATTAGAGTAAAACTTCACAGATGGAGAACAGTTCAAATACACATATATGCTGTGAGCAATGGGACCAGCCCAAATTAGTGAAAGGTGTGAGTTACCGAATAATTGTTAAATGCAGTTTTATTGATTTAAAAAGGCCAGACACTGGGAGATAATTCATAAATGTTGAGTGGGAGTTTCTATGAATACAGTAGTAGATAAGTGGATAAATGGATAAGTGAATGAATGAATAAATGAAGGGCAATATCCTCATTTTAAAGTTGAGATCACATGAGGTATTGAATGGCAGAACCAGAATCTGGATCTAAGGTGTCTGGCTCTGGAGTCTTAGTTTGTAACCAGTAAGAATTCATACATGCATGAATGAAGGAATGTTTGAAAACCATTTACTATACCAGTATTATGCTGCTAAAGCATTTGAAAAGTGTGTTTCTGTGATTTTGTATGTTGCTTTAAATGAGCCCAGAGCACATCATCTCATGGTTGGGGAAACTGAGACACAGAGAAAGAAAGGTCTTGGCTCCAGCCCCACAGCAGCCTGTGCCCAATTGAGGCCAGGACTCAGACCTCTCCAGGACACCTCCAGTCTCTCACTTTCCAGTCCACAGTCGCTCCGGTGCTTTTGTGTGAACTCATCTCTCTGGTCCATGTTTGGATTCCTTCAAATGTTCCGCCTTAGAGGATCCTAAACTGACCATTTACACCAAGGTTTCCCCAGTATGGCAGCCCTGGAGACCCTGCAGCTTGTTTCTAGCATGGATTTGGATTTCCTTTGCAGATTAGCTCACCAAGAGGGACACAGATAGTGCCGGGAAAATCAGCCTGGGTCTCTAGAAAGGGCGTCTCCAGTATGCTGCAAGTACAGACTCCCACCAGCAGGTAGCAGCAGAACCCAGCAGTTACAAATGCCCCACCTAGCGCATGGCTGCCAGGTTGGACTCCTGACTTCTCTGCCTAGCTGAGTGACCTGAGGCAAGTCACTTACCTCTCCCTGCCTCCTTTCCCCCTCCACAGAATGGGCACAACAACACTCACCTCCTAAGTTGTTTTGGGGTGCATACGGTATTATGAAGAGCTTAGTGGTAGTGCCCATAGTAAGTTTCCAATGCATGTTAGGTATTGTTTTATTATCACAATTAGCATTCTGTTAGAACACATTCCAAAGGATTATCCACATTAATCGTTGTTCTAGAGCTTTGTTTTATTGGAAACTGCAATGAAAAGGCCACCAGCTGGAGTTTTAAGACCTTCTGATTATCCAAAGAGCCTTTATAATTAATCTTTATAATGAGATTTTTATATAAAAGTGCCAGGTACTAGTTCCTAGTAATACTAGGGCTGCGATGGATTTCAAATAGGGCAGTGACTTGTCTACGGCCCACAGCTTGTTGGTCTCAGAGCTCTCAGAACCTTACCTTCCATCAGAAGACACAGGACTGGGTACAGTACAGTCACCTTTAGAGCACTCTGCTTTGGTCCAAAGCAACCACAGACAGACTTATATTAGAACACTGAAAAAAAATATTTTTGTATTACTTGGCACTTTTCCAATATTAAACAAAAGATGTATTGATTAAATCGTTACTTATAACTGTATTCCCTGAAATAGCTGCAGATTTGTTTACATACTATTTCGTTTCAAGTCATGGACATGGAGACACTGAGTTCTCGACACATTCCAAGAAAAGCATTTTGTGAGATTTTCCAACAGAAGTGATGTTGTCTTTCCTGGCAGTGACCCTTCTGTAACTTTACTGAGTCTATCCTTGTTTTTGCAGCTGTGCCTGAGCTGAAGCTTCTCTGCGGGGCAGATGTCTTGAAGACCTTCCACACCCCCAACCTCTGGAAGGACGCGCACATCCAGGAAATAGTGGAGAAGTTTGGCTTGGTGTGCGTGGGCCGGGTGGGTCACGACCCAAAAGGGTACATCTCAGAATCTCCCATCCTACGGATGCACCAGCACAACATTCACCTGGCCAAGGAGCCCGTGCAGAATGAGATCAGTGCCACGTACATCAGGCGAGCCTTGAGCCAAGGGCAGAGTGTGAAGTACCTGATCCCCGATGCTGTCATCACCTACATCAAGGCCCATGGCCTCTACACCAAGGACAGTGCCTGGAAAGGCACAAGCACCCAGAGTGCTGAGGGAAAGACCAGCTAGGGAGGGGGACTCGGCACCCACACCTCCTCCACCAAGCTCCTGCTCAGGAGAGGGCTGCTAAGGTTTCTGTTTGACTTTGGTTTTTGCTTCTCCATTTTTCATTTGTTTATTTCTACAATGATTCTACTTCCGTGGAGTCTTCTGTCCCAGGAAGAGATCCTTCTTTGTGGGAGAGGAAAGGTCTAAATCACAAGGATGGACATTTATCAACGAAGTTAAAGTGGCATGGCAGGTCATTAGGATTAAGCAGAATCTCTCAGAGCTGCTGGACCAAGGAGGCCTACTTATTTTGTGTGGATGGTAATTATGGTGTGCACACTGAATGCAGTTCTGAGCATGGCAAGGGGCCCCTGAGGGTCAGATCACAATTGCCCAGAATGCAGTTTTTAACTAGAACCAGGTGCAGCATGCTAGTCTTGATTGGAGAGATTTGACAGGATGCTAATTACTGAACAGTGGGTTTTGTCAATGCCCCGGTTTCAGAATATGAACTGAGGAGTCAAACAGTTGGAAGCAGCACGTTGCTGATTTACACTGAATCTTGCCTTACAAACCATCGTCTGCCTGACTAACCAGCCCTTCATAAAATTTAAACAAAACTCTTTCTACGTAGTGATCCTCAAGCAGTATTTTTCATATGGCAAGTATCAAACTTGCTGTAGTGTAAAAGCCGGGGCTCCTCATTTCCAGGTTCCTAAAAAGGAACTGAGGTAAAACAGATGCCTGACTGTTTTAAAGGATCTTTTTTAATGTTTTATGACTGCCTCTCTGTTTGAATATTGGCAAAGGGATAAATAATAAATTGACATCAAAAAGTACTAATGAAAAGTTTCTTCCTTTGTTATATTTTTAATGCCTGATGTCCCAGCTGTTTCTCTTCTTTTTAGCTGCTCCATGAAACTTGCTACTATTGCAATTGAACTGGCATGAATTTAAAAGTGTGTGTTTCCAGGTAGTAGGAATGGAGGAAGCAACTGCTTTTCAGTGCCACGCCAATGGCTTTCTAAAAGAAAGCACTGGGTTGATAGCTTTTTTCAGGTGGGCCTTTGAAATGTTAGAACAGGGGCCTCCTGCACGCAGGATTTGTCATTCCACTCCCAAATTAGGGAAAGGTTTTGATTGACCTAATCCTGTTTGCGTTTACTCTTTAAACTTGCTGACCACATGACTGAATGCATTCAGAATTTACTTCTCCATAGTTTTACTCTGGTTCATCCTTGCTCTGGGTTTGGTCATGCAGAGAAACAAAGGGCCTGTTAGGAAGAATCCATTATCCCCCCCAAAACATACCAGTGTTCACATAGGTGTCATGAAATATATGAATGAAGTAGGAAATCAGGATTTTCTGGATCCAACAAGTTTGGGTGGGAAGCAGATTTCCATCCCTGCAACCACTGAAGCTGCCAGCCATTCCTCACCCTAAATGAACTCTGCCCTCCATGAGATCAGGTCCCTGATAATTCAGGGGAATAGGAATCAGATAGCCTTGTCCAAAAGCTGCCCCAGCAAGCTGTGTGACTTTCACTAACTCCCTTCCCCACTGTTAGCCGTCGTCTCCCTGCCTGTGAAGTGGGAGGTTTAATCAGACACCTCTAAATTATCTCCTAGCTCTGGTTTTCTAAGACTGTGAGTGCCTCTGGCTTCAGCCTATCCAGCCTTCTTTGGATCCAGTACATGTACAGCCAGACTGAAAGCTCTCCAGGGGCAGGGAATCTTTGTTTTGTTTGCTGCTATATCCCAAATGCCTAGAAATTTGCTACAGAAAGTGAACTCCCAGAACAGCAACATTTGCACCCGCTGGGAGCCAGCAAGAAATGAAGACTCTCAGGCCCCACTACAGACCTGCCTCAGAATCGGCATTTTGATATGAGTCACTGGCTGAAAACAGTGCCCTTACAACAAATAATAGTTTTATTTTCAATAAACCGAACATATGATTGAGATTGTGCGACTTTTACTATGGTGAATATCTTCCGCCTTATCCTCAGAGCTACACTGCCACAGTCTTCTGTGTGGAGTAGAGAAAGCAAAGGAAAAAGGGGAAAAAACTCCAACTTACAAACAGTTGCAGTGTCCAGAAAAATGATGAGAGGGAGCCTGTGGATTTAAGGCGGGATTTCTCAACCTTGGCAATATTGACACTCTGGGCTGGATAATTCTTTGCTATATGTGGTTATCCTGTGCCTTTGGAGTGCTTACAATATCCATAGCCTCTTGCCACGAGATGCTAACAGTACCCCCATAATCATGGCAACAAAAATGCCCCAGGCATTGCCAAAGATCACTTGGGACACCAAATAAGAATATGGCTGTGAGACGTGTGTATATGAGGAAGGGTTCTCTATTTCCTAGCAGGGAAAATCAAGAGGCAGCAGCTTTAGAATAATCCCCTTTTATAAAGGAGTAGTTGGGGTGGGGGGCTTTCCTACCACTCATGAAGTCATGTTTATTCCACAGACACCATGCTGTCCACAGTAAGAATTAGAAGCCACATCCATGACTCACAGTCACCCCCAACTTGAATCTCCCATTACCTTCAAGTACCCTTGGTTACTTTCTCTGCTGCATATTCACAGGGTGAGGATCCCAACATACTCTGGACCCTCAGCACTGAAACCTGGGGTTCCTGGTAGTAGAGACTCTCAATGAGTGGGAGCTAACAGATTTATTATTATTACTATTCAAAATTAAGAATTCATTTATTCAAATCACATTTACTGAGGACCTCTTGTGCCAGGCACTAAACACTGGAGTACAATGGTAAACAAAATAGACACTGTTTCTACCCTCAAAGGGCTTATAATCCAGTGGGGAGTGGGCAAGAATCAAATAATCACACAACTAAACATGTGATTCCAAACTGTGATGAGGGCTCTGAAGGCATATACACGCATAGTCTGCCAGCCAGAGACAGCAGGTTCACTGCAAAGCTAATGATGCTTAAGCTTTAGTCTCTCACTTGCCCAGGCCCTTTCCAGCGCCCTAAAAAGGGCCCTAATTATGTGGATCTCTAATTTCAAATCAATAATTTTTATACTTATTTCTGGAAAAGGGCCTTCAAAATTGTATAAGATTTTGACTCTATAAAATGGATTTGCCCTGATGACAGTGTAGACAGAAGGGAAATGACCATGGATTTGAAACATGAAGGGTGAGTTCACAAGACCTGATGATGGGTGGCGGCAACTGGCTTTCAGGAAGGGGGAACATCATATGCAAAGGCCTTGAGGCAGAAGAGGCCAAAATGTGCAGCATGCTGAGTTGGATTCATCATCACTTCCTGGAGAAGGGGTGCCTTGTTGCATCATGCACCTGACAGCAGGAGTCTCAAGTCCCCATTCCCCTGTCCAGACTTTCCATAGGCTCAGGGCACCAGGTCCAACCAGGCTTGGAGGTGATGCCATCATCTCCCTCAACCATGTGTGCATGATGCATCCCCTACCAGGCAAAACATCCATTTCTGAGCCGTTACATTGTCTCTTTCTAAAAGAAAACAGCAGGACCACAAAACCTACATCATTAAATATATATGAATGAAACATTATATATCTTAATTTCTGTACTTTCACTTTATCTCATTGATTCATGTAGCCTCCCTTTTCTGGAATCAGAAGAGAAATATGTATCACTGCTGTGCTCCTGATTTATTGTGTTGACGCTGACCTGCATACCTGATTCCACATTCCTTTCCATTCCCTCGGGTCTTCTCTGTATCTACTTTGCCAGGGTGTTGTGTTTATTTTGCAAGAACAGAAAAACAGTGGTTTGAACTCCTGAGTAAATAGAATTTCCAGCCTTAAATAAAGGTTCTTCTGTGATAGCATGCACTGCCCAAATGAGAAGAGCGCTGTATCCTAGCCTGAGGAAAGGATTTTTCATTTATAATACTGTATGTATCACTTGGGACGGAATGATGTGAAATCCCATGTTAAACCATCAGCGCTCTAGATTTGCAAGGTACATTTGGTAATTGGGTTAATACATAAATATGAATTTCCTTATCCCCATCCTAACACTTTCTATACTAACAGTGTTTTTGCCGTCCCTTTCTGCAAGGGTCTTCATGCATACATTGTGTTCAGTTTCAGTCATGAAGTTATTTTCTTGGATCAAAAATTGGCATTATAGATATACATGTGTGACTAATAAACAATCTGTAACAATGCACCTAGGCACACGCCTCAGAATATTTTAGTATTGTCAAAATCACTTCAGAAAGGATTTTTCATGGCACCACAGACTGTGAGGACTAGAGGGAACCGTCAAATTCATCTGGTCCCACATTTCCAAATTATCAGTATGTAAATCCCACGAATAAATGGAGTTTCACTACTAGAAAGATTAATAATAATAATGTATTCTGTGGATGAAGTTGGGGAGGTCTCCTTTCCTTTCCCCTGCTGAAAATCTATAATGTGTGGAGTGCATGCCCTCTGAGTCCTACCTTCTATACACCCTCTGTATGGAGCTGCTTTTCTCCATCCCTTCTGTCACCTCCCCATCTAAACTGCCATCATCTCTCACCTGGACCACACAACAGCCTCCTAACAGGACGCCCCAACCCATTCCTGAACCCTGTAGTCCATTCTCCACGTAGTAGATAGGGCGCTGTATGTGTGTGCAAATCTGATCATATTATTTCCCTTCCCAAACTCCTTCTGAGGGACATTAAGAAAATGGAAAGCCACAGTCTGGGGGAAACATTGCAAAATGTATGTTGGAAGCAGATGCTCAGTGCCACAGAGAAAAATTAGCACTGTGACAAAGGATCTTTCAGCAGTGCAATTTTTACTTCCTGGACTGCATGAGGGGTACCCTCACTAGCCATCTTGCCATGAGAGTACAATGAACAAAGGGAAAAAAACCATATTTATCCCTTATGCATTTGGGTTGTCCTCACTGCTGTGTCTGGTCTCCATTGGCTGGACCCAGACCTCACAATTTAAACTAAAATCTGATTGGCAAAAAACTTAAAACTTTACTAAACAGGCAAAAGCAATGGAGAGCTGGGACACGCCTGTGAGCATGTCCAGCACAGATATCTTGGTTAAAGTACAAGGACATAGAATGTACTACATGGCTGTAAGCATGCCATGTTTATCAGCTACATAGAATAGGGCTGAACAAAGTGTTATTAGCACACTTATGATTTATTCTTTAACAAGAAAGGAAACTTTAAAGAGGAACTTTTTTACATCCCACAAGGTACATCTAATAAACAATTTAAATTCAGGATATATTAAAGAACTCTAATGACAAAAATAAGAAGACTAACAACCCAATTTAAAAATGACCAAAAGATTTGACTAGACATGTGCAGGGGAGGGGAGCATAGCAGGCCCAATGCTGCTCTGCAGAAGGGTCTGCCTGTGGACCTGGCCCTTGCCTGGCATCTGAGAACCTGGCTTTTGGAATGTTACCTATGTTTCTAACTGATAAGGCTGTTTTGTCTTCCCGGTGCACTGAATCCTACCTTACCAGCTTGCCTAAACTGTCTGTACAAACAGTATGATTTATGGTGCACACCTGCTTTTCCTCTAGGAGTTTGGAATTTCAGTAATCACGACTGGTCGTGTGGCAGAAGAGTCCCTACATCACTAGCCCACAAAAAACTCTGGATGTTGAGTCTCAAGCAAAGCTCCTGGGCAGAAACAACATGCACTGTTGCTGCATTTCACTGCTGGAGAAGAAGCATGTTCAGTGAAGGTCCCACCCCAGAAGAGAGAACTTTAAAAGCCTACACCTGGACACCTCCATACTCTACCTTATGTACCTTTCCTCCTGCTGCATGTTTTTTCAGTATGATAACAGTTGCATG